TGTGTATATGTGTATGTGTATACGTGTATGTGTATGTATGTATACGTGTGTATGTGTATGTGTGTATGTGTACGTGTGTATGTGTATAAGTGTATATGCGTATGTAAAGTATGCAAAATATATTTGTTGAAAAATCCCAATATGAAGTATACATATATATATATATATATATGCATGTATATGTGTGTGTATATGTATATGTATATGTGTATGTGTATGTGTGTATGTGTATGTGTGTATGTGTATGTGTGTGTGTGTGTATGTGTACGTGTGTACGTGTGTATGTGTATGTGTGTATGTGTGTTGTGTACGTGTGTATGTGTACGTGTGTATGTGCTTGTGTAAAGTATGCAAAATATATTCCGATAATAACCAATAACAAATTACAAAATTTAAAATCCCCAAAGAAAATTAACCTGATATATTCTGGTGCAATGATTAAAAAGTTCATAGTGAATCTGATTTAAATCAATGTCGAATAATGGAAAAGATCAAAATATGTAAATGCAAATAAATGATATGATATTGTTACTAATTATTAATATAATAAATTAATTAATTAATAAATTGAATAATACCATTTCGTATCTTTCACTTGTAATTCCATTATGTAAATAATCCGCTATAAATTACAAATATTTCATTTCTCAAAAAATCGCTCAAATATTTTTGATCAAGAATAATGATTGTATTTGATTAATCTCTCTCATAAATGAGAATTGTCTCAATTGATTAATTGCTAATAAATTTTGATAAGAATTGATTGAATTATCTTTGGTCACTTCTCTTCGTTCATTTTTATCTTTGGTCATTTTTTACTATTTTGATTAACTTCTAATTAGGAACAAAAAAAAAAACTATCCTAAGCCTATCAATAGTCAACTTGTGTTTGAAAGTAATTCTGCAGTCTTTCATTGAAATAGACTTCGAAATGCATTAATTGTGTATATTGAATATTTAAAAACTGAATTTAATATAATGGAATTTCGAATTTTGGATTTGTTCAATACATAATAATTTACATTTCTTCATTGAATTATGTCTATCTTTCTTATTGTTGTAATATTTCTCGATTAATTCCTAATAAAATATAAAGTACTCAAGTAAATTTTTCATTTCTTGTATTACGAAGGTATTGTTATTTCAGCATTTTAAAATGATAGTTTGTTTTTCTTTTTTCTGTATTTCACACAATGATAGCATCAGGCATTTAAAAAAAAAAAAAAATTCTGGAAAGAACAATTCCGAAAACATCCAAATAACTATTTTTTCTTGGTCAACAGTTATTCATCCGGAAGTTTAAAGATGGGAAAAAGAAAAAAGAACGAAAAAAGAATTTATAAGAAGTCCATGAAGAAAAACCGTTCAACTGTTCACAATAATGTTCATCCACCGGAAATGAATATGAAACTTCGGGATCCTCATTTTCATAGAGGGTTAGTAAATTGATATGTCGTAATCGGGGTTCCTTTCAGGAACGGAATGGAAATCAGGTTTTCTGGATTTTGTCGAACTTTCTGACATGTTTTCCTATTTTCAGTGTCCGTCCACAATCCTTCTTTTCTTCCCGGGATCAGTAAATTTTCAGTCCAATCGAAATACTGTGATGTAAGTTAGCACATAGATTTTAATTTGCAGAGATTTAATTGACGTATCAATGTTTGTCGTGAAATGAGTTTGAGAGAGAGATATTATGACATTCATGCAGTAACTGACAATAGTACGCGTTATATTGTTATTTAGTACTTGTCTGGTTTTATTTGTATGTTGCTTCTGTTTCAGAAAAAATGACAAAACGTCGACCGAAAAATAAAAAACCAACAGGTTTAAATCGTTTTTTGGGAAATTGCTTATTAAATGAACGTGAAAGATTACGTCAACAATATCGGAAAAAGCAACAAGCCTGTAACACCGAGAATATGGTTGAAATAAATAAGGTTAAACTTTCTTTCTATATGTTACAAATGCTATTTTGTAGTGTTTGATTAAAACCAAGAAGCATGTGGAGTTAGGAGAGATAAAAGATGTGTAAGGAAAAAGTAAGATTAAGTTATCTGCTAGAGGTAGGTAGATAACGTCAGTTACAGGTAGTCAATCGGTGCTGTTAGGTAGCATGAAATAAGGATGGGTAGAAAGGTAGATAGTGTTAAGTAAGATAAAGTGAAAGTGATAGAATAGATATAGGTAACATAACATAGTTCAAGATAAGATAGGGAGAAACGATTTCCAGGTGTGATAAAGGAGCTGAATAAGTGATATTTAAATGATAGCATAAAACAATTTGAATCAAGCAGATAACATAAAGTAATGTAAGGTAGGTGTTGATAGTATCTAGTAGCTTATAATAAGAGTATGTATTTGATGTAATTTCGCAGCGTTAAACATATATGTACCGTAATGTAGCTTGAGACAAACGTTTTCCGGATCAGTTTGTTTTTACTTTTATTTTTGCTTATAAGAAAAGATGCGCAAATCAATCTCTTCGTGTCTACTTTTGTTATTCCCAAAAAAAAAAGAAAAAATTGGTTGATATACTTGCGAACTTTGTATGCTGCATTTCAGATAGTGATGTCATTCGTTTTGTGCTAGCATTTTCATATGAAAGCATTCTGACTCTTTTGTACTAGTCCTTCACTACATAAATTTTTCTAATATCTTATCAGTTTATTCGAATTTTCTGGTTTCTTATAAATGTTCATTTTTTAAGCTTGTCACCCAGAATATTGATTCCGTAACCGATGAAACTGGTCTAGAAGAATTCCTGGCCAAAGCGGAACTTGCTGGAAAGAATTTTGCAACCGAACGAGGAGAATTTCGTATGCTCGATTTGTAGGTTTTTTTTTCGCTCTTGAAAACAGTGAAATTTTGAAGCATGACAGACTTTTAGTTGATGCTTTGCTCCTGATGAAAAATGAAAGAAAAATGCGGAAAGTTGACTAGAACTCTTATCTGTATGTAGAGAAGAAAGCTCCTACTGTGAAGGCATGTGAACTCTTTTAAGCTAAGTTTGTTCAACTGTGTGTTTATAAGTGAATTTTAGATTCAACGTTTTTGTGTTGGAGGAAAATATTTCTTTCAAATCTCGTGTATTTTAAGAGAAAATTCGAAAGTGATTGTAAATACCATAAATACCGCTCATTCAATGGATGAGCTATATAAAAAGTACGGTGACCGATTACGGATTCCTCGTCGACCACCGAAACATGCATGGGAAACGGCGCATGATTTAACGCGATTGGAAAATGAGTATTTTCTGGAATGGCGTAAAAATCTTGCCGAATTACAAGAGGTAGATTTTTTCTTACTTTTCAGATATACCGATTTCATCCCCCACTTTAAAATTCTGGTTTAAAATATATTTTCTAAGACTGTCGAGTTTTTCAGGATCATGGTGTACTGTTAACTCCATTTGAGAGGAACCTCGAGCTATGGAGACAACTTTGGCGGGTAATTGAACGAAGTGATATCGTCGTTCAAGTTAGCTTACCTTAAGAATATTCTGGAATGCATTCTGAATTTGTTCATTCATTTTCGACTTTCAGTTCGACCTGTAATAAATAACAAATATTCAGAATAGAGTTTCAACCCAATAAACAAAAATGTTTATTGCATTTTTCATCTTTTGAGAAGTAGGGTATGGTATTATTACATTTTTTCTTATTTAGATTCTTGATGCTCGCAATCCGTTGTTATTTCGGAATTTGGATTTGGAAAAATATATTAAGGAGTTTGATGCCGTGAAGCAAAGTATATATTTGATCAATAAAGCTGATTTATTGTCGAAGGAGCAGATGGAGTCGTGGAGGAAGTGGTTCTTGGAAAATAATGTAGATGCTGTTTTTTGGTAGATTTTTTGGATTAAAATTGAGATTTTAAGATATATTTGGATTTTTGGGTTGAAATTCTATTCTGAATATTTGTTATTTATTATAGGTCGGCTTTGGAGCCAGAAACGGACTGTACCAGTAACAAAGTTATAGAAGAGATGAATGAACATGACGGGAATGAATTATGTAGCAGTTCAGATGAAAGTGAAAAGAAAGCAGAGAATGGGGGGCAGGATTCTGATGAATCATCTGGCAGTGTAAATGGCGAAAATGGCGATGGCAAGCAAAGAAATAGTTCTGGTACGGAGCTTTCACAAAATGTTGATGTTCCAGAAGAAAAAATTCCGATTATACGTCGTGCTGCGGTTAGCTGTTCCTAATTTTAATTGTTAATTATACTTGTTAATATTTGATTGATTCATACTTCTCTCAGATCTTTAAAAAGTATTATGCAAAGCTTTATACCAATATGCTATGCTATGCTGTTACTTGTCTTAGCCAGCACTTGTAATTTGAACTAATTCATTATTTCGAATGAATTAAATATTGCTATAATTTATAACACTACTGAATGCTTGGGAACTTATGCTAGGAAATATCTCTCGAATTTAAGTGGAAGCTTTTTAGCTCTGATGCTCATATATTGATTTGTGTGTAGTCTTAGATCGATCTACTTGTTTAGATGACTTTCGGTTAATTGAATGTAACCTTTTTTAAAGAACTGCAAAGTTTCTGGACAACATAAAACGGAACTTTGCGAGAGGATTTACTCCTTTTTAGGTGGTTCTTTCCTGAATTTGCTGTTTTCTAGGAGTTGATATCATTTTTCAAATCTCGAAGTCATATCGAAAGAGATGATATAGGAAGGCGTCCTCTTGTTGTCGGTATGGTTGGTTACCCAAATGTTGGCAAAAGTTCTACGATAAATAAGCTACTGAATCAGAAGAAAGTATCAGTATCGGCTACGCCTGGGAAAACGCGACACCTTCAGACACTAGTGGTTGATAAGGAGGTATTTAAAACTTCAATGACCATTAAAATTTCAACCAATTTTTTGAAAGTTTAAATGGGTCAAATTTTCCCAGAAATTCGTCGATGAAAGCATTCATGAATCTTCTTTGATATGTGAAGTGACATTTGAAATATGCCTCAGTCGACTCACCAAAAAATAAAATGAAATCTCTAAGTGATATAACTCTGGGCTGTTTTTAGCTTACTTTATGTGATTGTCCTGGACTTGTGATGCCATCATTTGCGTTAAGCCGAAGTGAAATGATTTTAAATGGAATCCTTCCGATTGACCATATGCGCGAGTACTTATCACCTGTTGAATTACTATTAACACGGATCCCACGAAGGTATTTTGAGAAAATTTATTCTGTGATGTTGACGAGCACCGATGATGATGATGATAAGGAAACTCTACTTAGTGCGCATGATCTGCTTACAGCAATTGCATTTATCAGAGGTGTATTTTTTTTTTTCTTTTTGGCGTCCTGAATTTCTCGGGATATGTTGTAAAGTGCTGTACTTTCAGTGTGCATGGATGTTAATCTAGATGATCAATGGCCTGTATTGCCTAATGCGCTTTAGATCTAATGATACTTGCAAAGTTCATACATTATTGTTTATTTCACTTGACGCAAACTATTACTCTTCCTAATTAATGACTGCTTCAAATAATATATGCTCCGTTATTATAACTATAACATCACCGCGTAGTGAGGGTTTTTAATTTTGAGAGTTGCTACATGTAAGGGATACAAGTTCTTCGTGCATAACTCTCTCGACACTTCATTTCAACTTTCTGAAATTAATATATTCCGCGTTGAGAAGTGTTCTTACAATGTTCTGATTGATAATCATACGTCAGATTTGAGTTTTTAACACTTCAAACACATATCGTTGATGTTAAGTGCATTGATTTAGGTTATATGTCATCGTCTGGCGTAGCGGATTGTTCACGAGCAGCACGTTTAGTACTGAAAGATGTTGTAAATGGTAAAGTTAAATGGGTTGCTGCACCACCAAATGTAAACCAAAAGGAGTTTGATAAGCTAACTTACAATATTTTGGATGAAGCGAATTCAATGAAATCGAAACCAAATAGTGGCATTATGCGACAGGTGAGCGCGTATTCAGTTTGCTATTCCATTGCAAATTTTGCATGAAATTTATAAGTTCTAAACATTTTTTGAATTTTTTCATATTGAATATAATTTTTATTTAATTTCGTTACAGCTTGAAAAGCGTCATTTGTTGCAAGATATGAAACCATCAGACAAACTCCTTGATGAACAGTTTTTTCTTGGTTCAAGCAGTAAGGCACATATTCGTTCCTTGCGTTCTATGCCAAATTTCGCGCCATCGCAGGGGAATGAAACTCGACCATCGAAGAAACATTTTAATAAAAATAAACACGAGAAATTACGAAGGATTTTTGTTGATTAATCTAAGATATTCCCACAAGCAAAGGAATTATTCTAGTTTCAAAAGTTCAGGGTCTTTACGAATCTCAACTCTGATACTACTATATCTAAGGCTGAGCACTGTTACTTCAGCAGTGTTTTTCCAGACTTATTAATTGTTCTATCCTGTATGCTCAATAAAGTCTTTAAATTAATAGTTGTGCATTTGCAAGAGTGTCGCTTACTGCTAACTCTTCGAATTTATGTCGCAAGTTTTCGCAACCTTCTTCATGATATTTGGCAAGCAGAAAATGTGGTAAGCTTGGTTTGCTGCATTAGATTGCATTCTTCAATATCCAAAACATCTTCAATTCCGATCCTGGAGCATTGGTAGCAACAGGTCCTGTCTTCTTTCTTTATGGTTGTTCCTATTTTTACAAAAATTATTTGCCGAATGGAATTATATAAGTATATCAGAGGGATAGTTTTGTGGAGAAGTCTTGTCGTGGAAGTGCTTCTAATTAAAATCCTATTCTTAATATTAGTGAAAATTCAGATGTAAGGTATTTTGGGTTACTGTACTGTCTCTAGAAAGATTTAATTCCTTAATTCCCTTATAGGATAATTGAGATATTTATGATGAGTCCGTTTATTTATATTAAGTATATTTCTCCATGCAATAACACACACATTGGAAGTACCGAAATCCCACTCATCCTTCAGTGGGAGGTCTCAAGATATCAGAAAAACTGGTGTGGGATTCGATTTTGCATCGTGGACGAGTTGGTGCAATGTGTCTAATTAGACACATGGTCCGTGGTGTATCGAAACCGGTTCATTAGGTAGAGCTAGTGGTATTGTAGGTGCGGAAGGTTGAAATAGTTTCCAATTCTATTTTGTTTTCATTATAGGTCGTGTATGCGTGTGTTGCATTGGTCAAAATTAAAATATCTCGCAACGTGAGCATACATCCATCATTATGACTGTCAACTACTCTAACCCCTCCATTACAGTATTTTCCTTGATGATTCGGTAGTTTCAGGATAAGTGTTCCTAAAATGGGGAAGATAATGAAACCCGGGAAAGTGGTATTGGTATTGGGTGGGCGTTTTGCTGGTCGAAAAGCAATCATCGTAAAAGCGTATGATGAAGGATCATCTGATCGTGCATATAGTCATGCGTTGATTGCTGGCATTGATAAGTATCCATTAATGGTTAGTTTACTTTGCTATAATTTTTAAAAGGAATGGAAAAGAGGATAGAGATTTTTCGCATTAAGATTGCTACATTATTTGTATTTCTCATATTTACAGTAATTTTGATAATAGTCTGGAATTCTTCTCCTTCAATGGTAATTTACAATAATACCACATCTTCATTTTCTTCTTTGGATTTGAAGCAAGAGAAGAAACAGTGAATTCTAAACTATCCACGGAATTTTTTTACCCGGGTTTTATATCACACAAAAAATCGTTACTGAAAAAAACAGAATGAATCATACTAAAGAAAGGTTTCTCTATAGATTTATTTAACCTTGAATCAGTTTTAAGTTTTTCAAGCACAGCAGTCGTGTGAATGATGAGAAAGCTAGCTCGAAAAGATCCATTCAGTTTCCGTGTGGGCAAAGCTTTTTAACTCTGACGCATGTCTGTTTTTCTTTTTTTTCGCAGTTTCCAATCAATTTTCGGCAAAAAATGGTAGTTGATTTGACATTTACAAATTCCATAACCAATGGAAAGTACTTTAACTTTGCATTTCACTTGTCCTACTGCTTGAACGATGCGATGCACTTTTTTCGCATAATAAAAGTTACATAGCCGAAACTTGTGAGCACCGACTTGTTAAATCTTTCATCTGAAGGAATGTAAGAATTTCCGACAAATTTACTGGGAATTTTCTGAATTGTGCGGCAAGACGACAAGATCTTGATTTGTTTTTTCTCGCTGGGGAAAAAAAACGAACATAATTTCAGGTAACAAAACGAATGGGTAAGAAAAAAATCAAAAGCAGAAGCAAATTACGTCCATTCGTTGGTATCGCTAGTTATTCTAACTTGCTTCCAACTCGGTTCGTTCTAACTTACATTACGTTTGCAATTTCCGATATTCGTTCCGTACGTAGTAGTTATCATTTCACCACTTGACAAATTAAAATTAAATATGAACCGATTAGGTAATACATTTATAATGTTTTGATTCAGTTTTAGTATCTCGACCGAAACTTGCATGAAAATAAAGATTTTTTTAAATCTGTTTTTGTCCTGGATGTTCATGTGGAGGACTCCAGAATTCTGCAGAAAATGCTATTGATGTCTGCATTAATGAACACGTGCAGTCTAAGCAAAACGACCTTTAACAGTGATATCTCAGTTATTTAGGAAGGACAAAGTCTGGTTGATAGAACCTATGAAAAATATGCGAATGATGAGCAAGTTTTGCCCGAAAAAGATCCATTAATTCGCCATGTGGGCTAAGCTTTTTAACTCTGACGCATATTTGCTGGTTTTATTTTCAGCTCTCGATGCTGTTTGATTTAGCAATTTCCTTTAAATAATTGGTAGAAGGAAGGCAGCTTGATGTTCACTTTAATTTATCTTTTGTGTTGTGCAGCGCGAGAATTTAGTAGTTTTCAGCTTCTAAATACCTATATTATCAAAGTTTCATTGGTGGGATGGAAAGGCTGCACTTGCACAACAGCAAAAATCAAGAATTTTGAAGATATGAGATGGAATTATTCAAAATTTGCTTTGTACAGATATTATGGTCATGTAAGATGTTATGCTGTTTAATTTTTAGATATTCGGTCGATGTAATATTGGACAAGAATTTGGTTAACAAAGACGTTTTGAAAGAGCCTGGAAAAAAACGACGAGCACGAATGGAAGTAAAAACAAAATTTGAAGAACGGTACAAAACTGGCAAGAATAGATGGTTCTTCACTAAATTGCGATTTTGAAAATATTTTACTACAATTTTGTTGCTTCACTGTAAAATGAGAATGAAAATTTATTGGTGATGTAGTCATGCGGTTAGCCTCTCAGATTGACGTAAAGGATGTTGAATTTAAATTACCACTGCAGCTGCCATTACCAATTTTTTTTGTAAGCAGTGTTCCTGTAAAGATTAAACGTCATCAGCATGCTCGGTTTACATGTTCATTGCTATGCTAGCTACATTTTAATATTGGTATCACATGTATCGTCACTTTCTGAAGTACTTTATATCCGCGTTGTTTATTTCATTGATGAGCAGTAAAGTCAACAAGATTACGTATTTATGTAAGAACTCGCACAAATGGTAGTTTTGTTAACTTGCTGTACAGCAAGGCGTTACACTCTAATGATCCTTTGCAAATGCATCGTCGAGGACGTTTGGTTTGGGTTCTGTAGCCTTCGAATCTCTTACATTCCAGTTTTTCGACAAAAAATCTGGAAATTCACATTTTTTTCAACGAATAATCAAGATTGTGCATTGGTCGAAAAGCCGGAAGTTCAATACTTCTTAGCAGATTATGTAACGATCGGATTTCATCAGTGACGATGATCAGAATTTTTCTCCCTTCCCCAGATGAACTTTCTGAATAATCCGAAAATTAATATGAGTGGTCGTAGTTTTTATTCCAAATTTTTCACTCGCAAAAAAGCATACCAGAGAATAAGGCGCAGTTTTTGGGATTTAGCAGGACATACACAATATGATATTTTGCTATCCAACGGATTCTCACTACCATTAGCAGGATTTTTACATGGATAATTCTATTCTAGCTTGTGGCTTTAAGAATTTATTGTAGCGTTTATGCAAAATATAATCATTTAATTATAAAAATAGTAGTAATAAAATCAAAAGGACAAAAAAAATTTTTTTTTTGTCCAGACTATAAAATGAAAGGAAAAATGAAGAAAATACACATACAGACATATATATACTGTGAATTTGCAGCGTAGAAGGAAGAGGGAAAATGAAAAACTGAAATTAATAATACAAAGAAGAAATGATGGAACAAAACTGTTATTATAATTAAATATTAGAGTAACATCAAAATTAATCAAAATAAATATAGAGATAGGGTAATTTTAAGAGACCGGGATTTCGTAGGTAATTTAAATGTCTATCATGATACTTCTTCCCATCATCCATTATTAATTTAGGCTTGTTTCAATCATTTTCTTCATTGCTTACTTAATTTGAATTTTTGCTCAATGAAACTAATCAATACAATCCTAATCAACGAAGTTTTTCTTCTTTCCATTTCCCCTCTCCCAAAAAAAAGAAAAAAAGAGATTTTGCTTTTGAAAAATAATTCCACATTCTCTTTCATTACTAAACTTCAATTTTGTAACTGAAAGAAAAACTATATATTATCTTAAAGTCTAAAAAATAAAAAAACATTTGTAGTCAAAGATAGTGAAAAGAATGAAATGGCACGTCAGCGGATGATTACTGATACTGGGATTTCAGAAATTTTTTTTTTTTCGAGAATTAATGAAGAACAAAAATGTATAAAAAATGCGAAATTGATAATACTATTTGGTTGTAATTATTCATAATCCGTAAATGTAATTATGGACAAATTAATTACTACCAAAATAAAAATGAATGGATTGGGAGAGGAGAAAGGAGGGAAAGAAAAAAAAAACATGGAGCAAAAAATTACTTTATCTGTAAAATTAGCAAAAGAAGTAAAAATTTTTCGTATCAATAAAATTTTACAAAAAGTTTAGAAAACAGAACGAAAGAAAAAACGGTTAATTCCAAAAGGAAAGTCTTTTATTTGATGAATAAATACACCTAAATTAATGCTGAAAAATTAGTCATCCCATGAAAAAAAAAAAGTGTGTACAGATTGACAGATGGATAGATTATAATATTGTAACAATTGCACCTAGACATCACAAAAAAAAAAAAAAAGGAAAAATTTGAGGAAAGAAAAAGTATGCCATATGATAATAGCGCCTATTTCAATGTAAATAAATATAATTAAATTATATCATCATCAAAATAGTGAAATGAGTAACTGGAACAAATGAAAGAGAAAAATAATAATTAATAATAAAAAATTGAAACATATATTATGAGCAGTGAGCAGAAATATTGCTTTTTTTTTCTTTCTTTTCTTTCAATTTTTTAAATCAAAGTAAGATTTGACAAAAAAAAAGAACTCCCCTATTCTTTTTCCTACTTCCTCCAAACTCTTACTTCCTCCCTGTTTTTTTTTCTTAAATTTTATAAGAAATTTCCTAATTTTTATTTAACTGTTTTAGCAATCATTGCAATTACATTCAAATTGTGGATAAAGTTCTCATGTATATTACAATATTATTACCATAAGGTAATGAGCGATAGCATTTCAAGCATCTATCTCATCGTCGTTTAATAATAAAAAAAAACAAAAAAAAAAAAAACAAAAAATTTTAGGCAGAATTTTGCAGAAAGAAAAAGAAAATAATTTTTCTTTCTTTACAAGAAGCAAAATCATACATAAATATCACAAGAACAGTGAACTGTTTGAAAAACAAAGAACAGAAAATTGATTCATGAAATTTACTTTTGATGCAAACTTTTTAGGATTCCTTCGATGAAAGGAATGATGAATATCGGAAATAAATTAGGATCAAAAATTTATCCAATAAAAAAAAAAGAAGTGTACTACCCGAAAATTTATTTGCAAAGAAAAAATGCTCAGAAATTTTTGGACAAAAAAAAGAAATATTCGTTTTTCAAAAAGAGCACTGGAAAAAGTAGTTAAGAAAAAAAAAGAGAGTAAAGAAATGCTTTTCTTTCGAAAATGTTTCATAAATAAAATTATTTAATTATTTGGATGACTGATTAATTAATAACGGAAGAAAAACAAAAGACCGGAACAAATAATCAAAAAGTTAAACGGCAGCAGGATAACAGGAATAATGATGATTACCAGTCATTCAATTCATTAATAATAATAATAATGATTGGCAAGGAAATGAAATAACGGATCACTATCATTATCGTTATTATTATCAGAATCAATCGAATCAATTTAGAATAAAATTACCAGACGCGTCTATGAAATTTGTAGACATATGTCTTTTCACATCAATATAAAGCTTTTCCTCTTTTTGCCGTGTGACAGTAATGATGATGATGTTGACGATCACGATGACGAATCGATGATGATTAACATGCAAAGGACTGGTTTAAAAATTAAAAATCTCGAATAAGAATTATATTCTGAGAAACCAAAGCTCATTTTGTAACTTGTTCCATTACCTTACTGAAATGTTTTTCCTTTTTTTTTCATTTCACTAACTTTTAGCTAAGTGATAAATGAAAATTTCACCTTTTTATAAAATAAAATATTCCATGGGGAACAAACACCACTACTGAAAAAAAAGACAAAAAAAAAGAAAAAACAAAAAACAAAAAAACTAGACAAAATTTCCAACATATTAAAGCCAAGCATGATTTCACTACGAATCTCAAAACTAGAAATAGAGAAATTTCACTATGGATGGATAGTCATTTCACCTGGATACTGAAAAACTAGAACTAAGTCAATAAAGACATTACAACATATAATATTAAGAAAAAAGAAAAGTGAATCCTTGCAGTGAAGTACGAATTTTGAATCTATTCGCTCTAAACAAATTTGAAAATTAATTTCATTCAGAAAATTTAAAAATTAATTCTATTTTCATTTTTACTACAAAAAAAAAGGACTGAGTCAAATTAGAAAAATGAAGCGTCAGAAATCTTAAAAATTTTTCAAATTGTAAAATTTCGAAATCCCATTACAAAAATAATCACAATTTAAATCGTTACAAAAATTTAATGAATTGAGATACCGGAAGAAAATGAAATTCATATCAATTAATTTCATTCATCAAAACCTATAAAAATTGGAAGAATGTTGCAAAAATTTCCCATGAAAAAGGAAAATATAGGAGAAGGGAGAATAAATAACTAAAGAAACGAACGAACGAAACAACTATTTTAACAAACCAAAATATTTTCACGTGATGATAACGCTACTGAACGTTAAGAACCGTTAATGACCCGTTATCATAGATATGCAAAAGGTGACAAAATATATTTAACACACCGTGTCAAATAGTCCGACAGTTTGGACCCATGCTACATGTGTGTTTCACATTGTCGAAAA